CGGCGGCGACGCCGAGGCGCTCGCGCGGGTGCGGCCGGTGCTCCGTGCGGTGGGGAAGACGATCACCCACCTCGGCGCGAGCGGGGCCGGGCAGGTGTGTAAGGCGGCCAACCAAATCATGGTCGCCGCGCAGATGGTCGCGATGGGGGAGCTCTTGGTCTTCGCGGAGAAGTGCGGCGTCGATGGCGAGGTCGTGGTCAAGGCCATCAAAGGGGGCGCCGCGCAGTGCTGGACGCTCGATGTCAAACCCGATCGCCTCCTCGCCGGGAATCGGGACCCCGGGTTTAAGGCCGCCCTGCAGCTCAAGGATATGCATATTGTCATGGAGTCCGCGAAGGAGTATGGGGTGCCGCTGCCCAGTGCGGCCATCCACACCCAGCTCTATGAGTCGATGGTGCGGTGTGGGGACGGCGATCTAGACAACTCGGCGGTTGTCGGCGTGCTCGAACGTATGGCAAATGTCAAGATAAGCGAGCCCAAGAAAAAATAGGGTCGCTGTGTTGTTTCAATAGTGTAGGCATTGATACCGTTTCTAAGTGGTCTAATCCATCATTTTTTGTTGAAATTTTTGAACTGAATTGAGTATCTCTATTATTTATCTCAGCAAGTATGTTTTAATTGGTTCCCCGTTTATAGTTCACGTTAAGAATGCACTCCTGGGAATGGACTTGGAATGCCTTAGTAAGCGTTGTTTTCTTTTTTATCGAGTCTAGTTTTTTGTCTTTTTGCTTTTGCCGTATGTTCTCATCTTAAAGTTAAATTTTCTCGAAAAAAATGTTGATTCTTTGCTTCCTTTGAGGTTTCCTTTTATGATATTTGTCAAATGCTTTACTCTCGATCTCGAAGCTCGCAGAATCCAACCAAACCGCATACGGTTAACTTCCTATCGTAAGTTGTTATTAAAAATAGGTATGATATCTCAAAAATATTTCCTAGAATATCGAGAAAGGGTATATCGGTGATGATGCTGAATAAATTTAGATGAGCCATCGCCAATCATAACTGGTACTCTTATTTTACCCTTAGTTTCTTTTACTTTTAATAGTTAAATATTAGTCTTAAGGAGCCTATTCCATATTAGAACCCCGATTCCGACGTTTGTGTAATGCTAAGCCATTATCGCATACTGAGGAAAGTTCGCGCAGTTTTAAATTCTCTCTTGTCTTCTCAGTTGATTCTAGCCTAGTAAATGCAAAGCATGGTATCCAATATCTATCAAGATGCAGATATCTGTGATGTTCAGGCGCTAGAGACTTTGCTAAGCTATCTCCCTGATGTGATTCGAGTTGATATGCGTCGCCGAATGTTTCGAACATTTGAATTGTTCAACAGAGAACGTCATTTGGAAGTGGTAGAAGTGGTGAACAAGATACTTTGGATATGTGAGAATATCGCCCCGGAGCTTCCTCAGGTGATACGGGGAAAGGCCATCCGCGAGGCCTACGACGCCACCGAAGCGGTCCAGACCCCGACATTTTTTGCCGTTCAGTTGTTTATCCGCTTTGTGATGCATGCGCCGTTTTACAAGACCTCCACCTCCCGCGTAAAGGCCTGTAAACTGCTCCAAGACAACATTGAGGATAATCAGGGCTGGAATTGCGTTAAGGCGTACGGCAACGGCTGCGGCACGTTCTACCGATTCAACGCGTCAAGCAAGAAGCACTTTTTCAAGGTCATTAGTGACCTCCCCGTGAGCGCGATCTACGTGTGCTGTGTAATAATGGAGGTGGATCTGTTCTCGGATTGGATTCCGTTTTGTTGCCGCCTGCACAACCAAGGCGAGGTGAGCCATTTTCACAAGGCGTTGTTCTTCGTCGTGAAAGGGGTCTGGCCTTTTTCGGATCGGGATCTTTTCCTGGAAGGTTACGGCGTCGACGACTTGGAGTCGAACAGGCGGATATGGGTGGTCGCGCAGAGCCTGGACGAAACACGTGATGAGCTGCCACGCGGCATCCAACCACCGCCGTGTGTGGAGGGAAGCCTCCGCTGCGAGGCCTACAACAGCGGCCTTCGAATCGACGTCACCTCCCCTACAACGACGCGTCTGTCGCTGGTCGTGTCGATTGATCCGAAAATTCCTGTCATTCCACAGACGGTGATTAATTGGGTGTCGGGTAAAATCATGTGGCAGATCATGACGGAGATTAGCCGCGCGGCGACCGTCGCCCAGGATCGACAGAGCAAGTATTTCAGCCGACGACGTGGGCGGCCGGAAATGTATAGCATGTTAAGGGAGCATTTCAACGAAACGTTCGAAAAAATGGACCCTCAGGGGTACAAACACCATGCAATCCCAGAGGATTACTAATTCGTGTTTATTTTTGTTGCACCTAAATATAGCTTCTATTGCTCACTTAGCCTCGCTTGAAGCAATCTTCCTGGGGCATAAATCCTCTTGCAGGTGAGGTTAAAATTCGACGTGTACTGCGGTCTGTAACATCTAAAAGGTATCAAATAGGAAAAGATGGACGTCTGGGGCTTTCAGATCAAAGTCTCCTGCGTTCTCTACAAAGCGTCTATTAGCTCACCTTTTTCTTTACTCCCCCTCTTTTTTTCGCCAAGCCCTTTACCCCTGCTCGTCTTGTGCGTGGGTGGTTGCAAAGTACCCTTCCCTCACCTCACACACCCCCTCATACAACCCCTTACGGAGTTCAGCTACAACACGGGAGGGAGAAAATAGTTTAAAAACAAACAAAAAAGTGAGGTAGCCATCCTACACGACACCATGAGGGTCACACAAGCAGACCACGATTGGTTTCATTTACAGCTCCAGCTCAGCGAGCGGGCGGAAGTAAAGCAGTTCTACCTCGCGCTTCCCCCCTCTGTGGGGAAGGATCTCCTCCAGTTGTCATGCGAGGCGCCGTGGAGGCTCGAGGAGGCGCTCCGCGCCGCGCGTTTGATCGTCTGCGATGAGCGGCAGCTGTGCGAGCGGCTTGGCGACGCCTTTTCCGCGCGCTTCGCCGATCCCCTCGACCCGTGGAATGAGCAAAATGCGGTGAAGCTGGTGTATCAATTCCTCGTCCAGCGCCGCCCCGCCGCGGACGGTGAAGCGGAGGAAACCGATCACGAACCCATACGCTTTACCAAGGCGCTCGAGGCGCACATGACGAGATGGATTAAACCTCGCGAAATGCAAGGGGTGTGCGGGCGTGGGGGTCTTCACCCGGTGGGATCCCCGCAAGGGGGGGTGTCGAGCTCCATCCTCGCGGTCGTTCCGATGGCAGACGGGGATGCGCACAGCGAAGGGGGGCTGATCTGTGGTGGGGTCGTTCGCGCGTTTGGGGAGCTCCTGCGTGTGCGGCGATCCGCGATGTTTGTGAAAGAAACCGCGCTTCAGTACTGCGAGTTGGGGACCGTCGTGCGGCGCGATGCTCGGCTGGGGAACCTCCTCGAAAGCGTGGAGGCGTTGCTCGTGATGTGCTTTCTTTATGAACTCCGCGTCGTCGGCGCGGCGCGCTCGCACTGGCGGGAACTCCTCGAGTCCTGCCCTTCGAGCTTTCCTACAGTGCCCCTTTTTTGGGAGCTAAGCGACCTTCGCGAGCTGGTCGGGACGGATATACTGGATGTCGTTCTACAACAGCGGGAGGAATCGGAAAAGGTCGCCCAAACGATTCAGTACTTCCTCCCGATAATTTGGGAGAACTTGTCGCCCACGCTGGGTGAAGTAACGTTTGAGGAGTTCACGTCCGTCTTCTCCGCGGAGTCCATCTCGTTCGCCAAGGCCGTCTTCAATTCCCGCGCGTTTAACCTCAACATCGACGGGGATGTGGTTCTCGCAATGGTCCCGGTTGCGGATATGATAAACCACCAGAACCGGACGGATGTGCTGGTGCGTAAGGTGGATGTCGATGGTGGCGATTTCGTGATGCTTGCAGGCGCGCCTCTCGACGAGTCCGATGTCGGACGAGAACTATGGATGAGCTATGGTCCCCTTCAGAACTGGGAGCTCCTGCACAATTACGGGTTTGTGATGCCGCAGAATGAGCACGACAAGTTGCCTTTTCCATTTCAAGTCGCCCCTGCCGATGAAGACGACACGTGGAGTTGTCGACGACACCTCCTCATTGAAAAGTATCACCTACATCTGCATGGCGAGTGTTGGCTGGCTGCGCATGGGGTACCCTCGGAGGCGTTGCGCGCGCTACTCCGTGTGAATCTAGCGCAGCCGGAGGAATTCGAAGTGATGGAAACTCACGGCCCTTTTACCCCTCTCTCTGCCACCACCGAAGTGGAAGTGGTGCAAACGGTTGAGTATGTGGTGCAGTGCGTCCTGGAGCAGTTCCCCAACTCCCTCGACGAAGATAAGGTAATCCTAGCTGAAATGATAGGGGCAATAGTCGATACGGAGAGTTTTCAAGACGGTGAAGATGGCGATAACCCGCATGCGCTCGATAATTATAAGCTATGTCTTCAATTGCGTATTGGCCTTAAAGAAATTGCGCACCGGGCGCTGGAGTGGTGCAAGAGTGCGCGGGCAGGCATCGAGGGGGATAACAGTGGTTAAGATTCAGCTTCATTTTCTGCGTGTGATTCTTTTTTTCCTTTCCACACGTCCTGAGGATGTCTTGAATGAGAGTATAATATAGGCAAGAACCCACTACCTTATTTAAACAACAACAACAACCATAAATCGAGTAACACCTCAAGCCTACTTCGCCATACTTGAAAATAGCGTTGTAGACTGGAAGAATGAATTCAAGATGATTCATGTTTAAAGAAAGAAGTATTTGAGAAGGTGTTCAACGTTTTATATCTCTGGAACAATTCTGCTCGTTGTCAGTGCTCCCCTTTCCATCCTTTGATTTATCCTTTCCTTCCCTCCTCTGCTTCTGAAAAGGATAGATATCAAGAAATTCAAGCCTCCCAACCGGTTTTGCAGATCAATTAGCGTGAAAAAAAGAACGAAAAAAAAAAGAAAAACATAGTCCGTACGAATGTCGAACCCTTTTGAAAAAGACTTCAACCAGGATCCTTTCAAGGAGCAGGGAGTCGAAGATATCGACACCTACCTCCCGCCGACCATCCTCGCGGTGAATACCCCCGCAGATCCGATCAACACACGACCTCAGTCGGTATACGGGGGCGCCGCGATCGACGGGATCCCCAACACCAGAGCGGAAAACTCCACCTCCGCGAAAGGCTTTGCGGAAAGCTCCCCGTCCTCGATGCCTGCCGCGGCGGCAGCCCTTGACGCCCCCCCAGCCCCCCAGCAAGCGATCAAGCCCACCTCGAAGTTCTGGACGATAGAGTTTTATCAGCAATTCTTCGACATCACCACCCAGCAGGTTCTGATTCGCATCAGCAACACAATCGTACCGATCAACCCCCCGGACTTTTTGATGGATCGCAACTGGCACTACTACACGGCGGGTGGGGAAGGTGGGGTGAACGCCCCGACGGATGCGATCCCGCAAGGGGATCTCATCGTGGATGGGATCCTACTCTCGCGAAAGCCGGATTTGTACGGCCCCTTTTGGATTTGCACAACGCTGTGGATGATGTTGGGGGTGGTGAGCAACATCATGAGCCGGATCGCCTACACGCGGAGCTCCAAGAGCGCATCAAATAGCACCTGGACCTACGACTTCTCCGTCGCCACCGTTGCGTGTGTGCTGATGTACGTGTACTGCTTTGTGTTCGGTGCGATGGTGTGGGGGCTGATGCACTGGAAGAATCTTCCCGTCACGCTCACCGATACCCTCTGTCTTTACGGTTACAGCATGTTCATCTTTATCCTCGCCGCGCTGCTTTGCATGCTTCCGGTCAGCATGTTTCAATGGATTGTCGTCATTTTCTGCGGGGTGTGGTCGACCTTCTTCCTTGTAAGCAATTTTTGGTATATGTGGAAGAGGGCTCTTGATCCAAAGTCGTTTCTTATCATCGTGGGGATCGTTGGCGTCTTCCATATGGCCTTGAGTTTGTCATTTAAGTTTTACTTTATGAATTATTCCTATTGAGTAACGTAGATGTAACGCAAGTTAGGATTGTTATTATGCTTTTTCTATCTAAAAAATTTTGGGTGAACCAAAGTTGACTCGTTTATTTTCGTTCTTGTAGTTGCATGGGAAGGTTCACTAATGTTGACTGAAGGGATTTCAATCACCTAGGTGCAATACTTCTTTACTGATGATTGTTTTATTATTATTATTATTTTATACTTCTTTAGTGTCGAGTATATACTTAGTGTGTGGAAAAGATGAAATTCAATTTGCACCGCACTCCTTTGTTTGGGTGCCATTAGCCATAAATAGGGAAGGAGTTATGGTTGCATTTAGACACAACCAACTGTATGGTACTAGATAGCAACAAATATGGGTACCGAACCTTTTCTTCTCACAGTTTATCTATTGGTTTGTGTAACTTTTCTTGGTGTCCAAACGTTTTAAGCATTTAAATCCTTTTCTCCGCTCCCTCCCCCCTGTTGATAAGACAGTAAAATCCTTTAACTTATATTTACAACCATATGATAAGGATCAACCTTCCAATCTTGCCTCTCACGTGTTATTTATCTACGTTTGGCTAGCAACAGGTGCATTCCATCATGCGTCAGGTTCTTTTCGTGGCCACCGCTTCTGTGATGCCGGTCCTTTCCTCATTAACATATCGCCACTTCCATGGAGTTTCCCCACAGGCTACTTGGAATCACGAAAGAAGTAGAGATATGCTCTTCCGGCAATCCCCCACTTTTACCACAGGCTTGGAAAGCCCCCAGGAACGGGTACCCTCTAGCAATGCTAACCCCACAAGCTCCTCCTCGTCAACCACATCATCTCTGAGTGACTCTCTACAAGGAAACGGGCGAGATTACTCTCCTTGCAAAGGAAAGAAGGCCAAAGGCGAAAATGGGACTAAACTGCGTAATCACGCGTCTGCGAAGGCCCCGTCGCTTCCACGCACGGGGTTCGACATACCCACGTCATACACGTCCTTTCGCCATGCTACACATCTCAAAGATTTTCTGCAACGCTACGATCACGTCGCGGTGGGGCACAAGGTGGTTGGTGTTTCAGAAAGGGTTGGCGGCCGTGTTGTCAGCCTGCGCGATATGGGTCGTATCCTGTTCTTGACCATCCACGGAGACGGCCACTCACTGCAGGTGGTACGTCAGGTAGACGAAGACTTTGATAAGGAAGACCTTAAAAGGCTAAAAACGACACTCCGCGTCGGGGATATCATCGGCGCTGTCGGGATCGCCGGTCGGACCGAAAAAGGGGAGCTATCACTATACGCGAAGGAGCTCGTAATCTTGGCGCCCTACGTGTGCACCGACCAATCCATCTGCCCAAACCTCAAAGGATTTTTACCGATCACCGATAATGAAATTAAGTATCGTTACAGGTTCTTGGATATGATGACGAACCCTAACGTCCGGCAGAACCTCTGTAAGCGCCACGAAGCCATTCGAGCCTTGCGGGGCTACCTGGATGACCGCGGCTTTGTCGAGGTGGAAACCCCAGTTCTGCACGAAGTGCCCTCAGGCGCCAACGCGAAGCCCTTCATTACCTATCATAACGACAACAACGACAGCCTGTTTCTCCGGGTCGCCCCGGAGCTCCATTTAAAGCAGTGCGTCGTGGGTGGGATGGAGCGAGTGTACGAGATCGGCCGCGTCTTCCGCAACGAGGACGCCGACCGCAGCCACAATCCCGAGTTCACGAGCTGCGAGCTCTACGCGGCGTATCACTCGTATGAGGACTTGATGGGAATGACGGAGGCCATTCTGCAACACATGGCGCGGGCGGCGAACGGCACCACCAAACTCACCGTCACCTCGTGTGTGGATCGGCAGCTGGTTACATTGGATCTGATGCCGCCTTTTCATCGCGTGAGCGTCTACGACGAGATCCAGCGCGTGGCGGAGGTGGAACTGCCGCCGCCCTTGGAGCTCAACACATCGCGAGGCCTTGCCTACATGTCGGCGATTATGCTTAGGCATAACATCCCTCTTCCGCCCGTACGCACCGCGGCGCAGATGTTCGATAAGCTCATCGACTTCTTTATCGTTAGCCGAGTCGTGCAGCCGACCTTTTTGGTTGATCACCCTTTGTTTATGAGCCCCTTGGCGAAGGAGCACGACTCGCGCCCGGGGCTCTCCGAGCGGTTCGAGTTGTTTATCAACGGGATGGAGATCTGCAACGCGTACAGCGAGCTGAACAACCCACACGAGCAGTATCATCGCTTTCAGCAGCAACTTTTAGACAGGCAGCAAGGTGATGAAGAGGCAATGGCGCTCGATGCGGTATTCCTCAAGGCCCTACAGGTGGGTCTGCCGCCGACGGCAGGTTGGGGCATGGGTATCGACCGCGTAATGATGCTGCTTAACGGCTCCTCTAGTATTCGAGACGAGGTTATCTTTCCACTTCTGAGAAAGGATGCCGATTCGCGGGACGCCAAGCAGCGGCGTAAGACGGCATCCTATTTTGGCTTTAACTCACACCTGACACTCTTCTGTCTAGGCGCTCTAGAGGATGAAATGATCAAGTGCAAAGTGCCTCGGGATTTTTCTGAAAAGGTCAGGCAGCTGCGTAAGTGCATTCACTCCATGAGTGCGGTCGCGCGACGCGACGCCGTAGATTCTGTTGAGGCGATGACTCAGTACTCGATGAATGGTTGGCGCTATGAGGCAGCCATGAAGATACTAAAAATAGTCTGTGGTCATAATAATTGGTGAGTCTCACTATCCTTGCTTTGTGAGTGAATGTGAGCCGTCTTGTACTGAACGACACCGGGTTGCTTTACAATAGCAGTCTTTCCTCACATACACTGTATAGGATTAATTTTTTCGGCTGAGGAGGGAAAAAGGTGGAGAAAGAGTTGCTTTTTCATGGTCGATTTACCTTAATCTTGCATTTCGCTTTGGACTCGACGTTCAGGTGAAAGATTTGCTCTCTTTCATGTAGCATCACGGAAACATCTAATACTAAAGAACTGCTTTCACAGTCGGAAAATCACTTTCTAGGTCCTCTTTGCATTTTACCCTCTCTTTTCCGGCTACACAGTGTCATTTCCCCTTTTTTTTTTCGTAAGGGTTCGAAGATTTTTCTAAGATAAAAAAGAGGATGGCAGAAAAAGGTGCCCCCAAAGCTGAGTCGGACTCCGACTATCAGTCCTATCACAAGCCAGAAGTATACGAGAAAATAAAATGGAATGGCTGGGGTGACTACGGTGTCGAGATGAAGTTGGACCCTGAGCACGCCTTCTGGGCTCGCCACATAGATGGCAAGCCAATCAAAAAAATTCTTCGCTTCCTTCACGAGGAGATCCGTGGTGGCGTTGGGCCGATGGAAGTACCCCCTCTCTCGCCAAGCATCACGGTTAAAGAGGCCATCGCGAAGCTTAACGTGCCGTATATCAACGAGGCCTTTATGAAAGATATCACCGCCGCGCTAGACAGCACGCAGGTGCGGCCCGACGCGATGAGTCGTCTATGTCATATCGCGGGGAAGAACTACCGTGATCTTTGGCGGATACGCAAAGGGATCGTCGAGAAGGCCCCTGATTGTATTCTTCTACCCAACCACCACGCCGACTGCGTGAAGATTGTGGAGCTGGCGCACAAACACAACGTCGTGATCATCCCCTTTGGTGGCGGCACCAACGTCACGGGTGGCGTCGAGGCGAACCCGATGGAGCAGAAGCGGATGATCGTTTCCGTCGACATGCGCCGCATGAACCGGATGCTGGCGATCAACAAGGAATCCCACATGGCCACGTTTGAGACGGGTGTGCTGGGGCCCGACCTCGACAAGCAGCTGTTTGGCCACGGCCTGATGTGCGGCCACGATCCGGACAGTTACGTGCACTCGACGCTTGGGGGGTGGATTGGGGCACGGGGCAGTGGGGCGATGTCGAATCAATACGGCGATATTGAAAACATGGTGGTGGCCCTGAAGGTGGTCACGCCCAACGGCGTCATCGAGACCCCGGTGACCTCCCGGACGTGTGGAGTTGGTCTTAATGATCTTTTCATCGGCTCTGAGGGGGCCTTTGGTATTATAACCGAGGCCACCATAAAAGTAGAGGATATTCCGGAAGAAAAGTATTACGAAGGCTACCTTTTTCCCAACTTCGAAACCGCCTTTGACGCCTTCCTCAAATGCAACAACAAGGGCATCAGGCCATGTACAATGCGCCTGTACGATGAGGATGACTTCCGCATGAGCAGCGCGATGAGTACCGATACGCACGGTCCGCTGGGGTCACTCGCGCTCAAGGGCGTAAAAGCGTACCTCGAGTCTGTAAAAGGATGGGATATGCGCAAGGTGAGCCTTGTGATAGTGGGTTGCGAGGGCACCAAACGGCGGGTGCAGTTTCAGCGCAAGGAGGTGGCAGCTGTGTTAAAAAAGTTCGGCGCCTTCGGGGTCGGCAGGAGCGCGGGGGATTCGTGGCAAGAGAAAAAATATGATCTGCCCTACGTTCGGGATTTCAGTCTCTCCCTTACTCATTGGGCGGATGTTTTTGAAACGAGCGTGCTGTACTCCCACGCGATCCCGTGCTGGCGTGCCGTGAAGGAGGCCGTGAGGCAGGTTTGGAAGGAAAATGGTCGGCATGGGTGGATTGGGTGCCACACGGCTCACCAGTATAAACACGGATGCTGTCTGTATTTTACCTTTGCCAGTTCACAGAAAGACGACAACGACATGAAGATCTTCTTGCAAATCAAAACGCGTGCCGTAGAGGCGATGCTCAAGTACACAGGTAACCTGACCCATCACCACGGCATTGGCTACGAGCATGTGCCATGGATGTACCGCTTCATGGGAAAGGGTTGCATGGACCTTCTTATGTCAATCAAGAAAAAGTTGGATCCCAAAAACATCTGCAACCCTGGGAAGCTACTTCCCTCGATACCGCAAGACAACGAAACGGATGCCCAATTAAAGGCTCGTCAAGAACGCGAAATGATGTTTGACAAGATGGGTGTCCCAGGTTCAATAAAGTCTCATCTTTGAGGAATTCACGAATATGAAGCAAACTGTAGATTCGTTTGTCTGTAGTTGCAATTAATGGAGGAGTATTGCATTGTAAAGTTTGTAGATACAAACACCTTTGTCCGTCGTTTGATACCCTAAGTGGTAAATCGCATAGTGAGAAAGAGGCTAGTTGCAACGATATTTATGAAAGATGACAATAGCTCTTTGGAACATGTATTATATATGGGCTCCCAATTTTTCAGCATTTTTATCGAATGTAGTGGTTGTATAGTATATAGCTACTATGAAAACGAGGGCTAAGTGTTTCTTTTATTAAGATAAGAATTATATATGTATATTCATATACATATCTATATTTATTACATCTAATCCTAGTGTCAAAATCGAATTCGAAGGGAGGAAAAAGTATACTTCTTTATTTGGGGCGAACAGTGGAGGGGGAGTGTAATGGTGCGGTGTTCCTAATTTATGTTTTAAGGGTAAAAATCTCGCTGTTAAATGTAAATCCGTCAAAAAATTCAACTAATAGTAGCAATCTTAAGTGTCCTGATATATCAAGCTGATCTTATTGAGAAAAGATTTGCCTTTGGATATTTTTATTTCATAAACATTGAAATTTAGCCCATCGCCTTACGCAGAATTAAGAAAAAATGTGAGAACTGACTTAATGCTTTCTTGTTGGTATGTCTACGAGGCGATTAACTCCCATCTTATGAAACATTGAAATTAGGAAGCTTCTCTGTACATGTGAGGTGGTCGTTACCACTATCACAAATTGAGCCATGACACGTAATCCACGAAGTTACACCGCTAAACCGTGATGATCCCTAGCCATATTGTACGTCGATTACAGTGTATTGGTCGTGAACGTGTATGATTTCAAGGTTATCTGCCTTAATAAGTGCCCCATGGGAAAGCCCCTTAACGCACTAATAGCTCATTATAAACTCTCGAGGTTGCTGCGTGCAGTATCATTATCATTCAGAGTTCTCGCTAGACTGATCTACAAAATCTTCTCTACTCAGAGCTTTTCATGCGGTTGTGAAACCCTCATCCAATTCATTTTGTGGTGACATTGTTAGGCGATCTTCTCGAATCCGCCGAGTCGCTGCACATGGTCATCTTCAACGATATGCCCCTTTGATTTGATCATCCTCGACAATGGGTCATCGTTTTGGCCCTTCAGTGGAACTCTGATTTGATAATTATTCTTGAACTCCTTCTCCGTCACTAATAAGCGATTGGCTTAATTGAGAAGATGCATTTTGCCCCTGGTGAAGCCCTTTACGAAGCACTATAGAAAGTCTACCAGTACGTTTGGGAGTTATTAATATTTTGTCGAGTATTTGAGATCTCTCATGAAGTACAAAACTCCTTCATTAATCTGAATTCATTGAAAGAGTTTCTAAAAGATAGAAGCATTACTCATTTACGTTGAAGGCAAAACTCATTCCATAGCATCTACAAATTCAGGAACACCAGATCGCGATGATATGTTGCGAATTTCAATTTTTGTTGGCTATCTGTTAGCGGGTTCACGGAGCAGTGTCGCCTACTGGGAATGGTTAAGAGATTGAAGTTCATGTTTCATATTCAAAGGCGGTACTCTATAGACCTGTTTGTAGCCGGACAAGTAAATCCTACGACAGAACTGTTGCTAAAATCTTAAAAAACTAGTAGAGACACATCGGAACCCTGCTCTTGATTCTTTTGTAGAGTCAGGTGTGTAGTAGGAAGAAAATGCACCGCACAGGAGTATCTTGTCGAAGGTGTCATTCCTCTCTCTCTCTCTCTCTCTCTTTATTATTCACGTTGACTTTTACCCATCTGCTTGTGGTTTCAATGTCTTTTTTGCGCTGTGTATCACTCCCCATAGTACAATTGGGAGCATGTTTATTGTTACATGACAACCTCTTCTTTTTTGGCACGGTTTTCTCTAATTCAAGTGCATTGAAATAGGCGGCCCAGCACGTGATAGGTGCACACAAACAGATTTCCAGTTCGTAGAAACTCCATCCCATGGAAGGGGTATTGGATTATGGGAAGCAACTTTATATTCAATGCTGTCTTCGACGCAAAGCAAAGCCGAACAGGGATATCATCGTTCAGGTAGACAGACCAGATCTTGTTCTTGTGGAAGTAATCGACGCCTCACATACTTTTATCGGTCGTACCGGTGTGCTTGCTATCCTGGACTTCGCTTCGCAACATCGTTGCCTACGGAAACTGATACTACCACAGAACGACGTCGACACGGCATGTGTGGAGCACCTCTGCTCGATCCTTAAAAACGGCCATCCGTCGCTATGCAGTATCGATTTTTCTTATAGCAACCTTTCCGTGCCCGCGATGCGAACCCTGTGGAAGACGGCCAGGGACGTGCACACCCTCACGGAGGTGCGTTTGGATAACAGCGACGTCCCGCAAGAGTGGGCTGAGCGGTTAGACCATCAACTCTCGACGAACCGTGAGATCCAGAAAAAGTTGGCCACCTCTCGACGCTTGGTGCTCAACCCAGTAGATATGGCTTCTAAATGGCATACTACGTTTGTTTTATTAATTAGTGCCAATGATAAACAAACGGAGCTTTACAGTCGTCATGTTTTACAGGTGCTTTCGTTTCAGGCGGCGGCGCTGTCGCGACGCCTCGCTTCAATCGTGGTAGGTGCGGACGAAACAAAGGAATATATAGAGAACAAGGTACAGTACTGTCTCGAAGAGCAGCCCCAGAGGCGTGTGTGGTGTGTGGTACTATTGGACGGCACCCCCTTCACAGATGCCCAGCAGCTGGCTCTGGATATGGTTCTCACGGTTCAAGAGCTTAATAAAAAAGAGCTATCTGATGTAGTAGAAAGCTTGTTTGTCTATTACCCTATCCAGGATAAAACAATGAATGAATTAGAACCAATCACTAGCTTGACCCTCTCCCCTAGCGCTTGGTTAGCTTTGACGGGCTGTAATGACAAGCAGCATATTGAGTCGGCCTCTATAACTCGACGTGAGGCATATGTACTGACGCCTGAAATATACAAGCTCCGATGTCAGAGCGATCTGCTAAGCTCATTGCGGAGCGCGTATCTAGCTGGCAGCAACGGGGATCAAAGCATTTACAATGAAGTTGCGGGCCCTGTTGGTGAAATGCCTCGAAAAATAGACCTGGGCCCACTTCAGATGTCGACACTTGTGAATCCAAACTCAGCTAGTGTCAAGCGCTTGTCGAAAATCGTCCTCCATTATATTAAATCGACTCCAGAAGAAACAGGCGCTCCCCTAATTATCCACGGTGTGGCAGGAGTTGGAAAGGGGGAAATTTTGCGACATCTAGCACAAAGCTTACAAAATGATTTAAATGAGTATAGTGTGTTTTTTATCGAAATCGACAGCCCGAACGGCGGTATAGTGACGTTTTTGTACTCTGTCCTCCAGCTCCTCAGTCCGGCGGCCGCCCAGAAGCAGTACTACAGCACCAAGGCCCTTCAACTGGCCGTTAAGGAGGCTGCTGCTGGATATAGTGGGCCCAAGCGAGTCGCTATGATCGTTTCGCGCGTGGATCGTCTGGAGCTTTGTGGGATGGAGGACGCAACGTGTGTCGACTGGGTGCCTTTGCTTCTACCGCCGAGGCTTCGCGTTGTGTTATCCGTTGATACCGATCCTACTCTGCTCCACCACCTTCGTCAACGTTTGCCACAACCGTTGGAATGCTTGATCTACCCCGCTGGGGATGATGAAGGTATCAATGCCTACTGCCGTATGTTGACGCAAAGAGGTCTTCTCTTGCCAGGAATCAAGCAGGGTCAAACGAGGGACTGCCTCAGTGCAACAGAAAAAAGCTATGCACAAAAGCCTGATTCGAACCGGATGTTCTACAGTCGTTTAGCCGCTGCTTACACCGAGCATCTACTGAAAACCAATGTCGTGGGAAGCGAAGAGGAGGCCGCCCTTCTCATTCAAGAACAGCTTCCGGGCAGCGTGGAGGAGCTTATACGCGCTGCTTACCATCACATTGCCACGGTGTATGGGCAAATCACTGTTTCATGGGTTTTGTTATCTCTCACGCACTGCCCTTTGGCTGCAATGGATATAGAAGAGGTGTGCGAACGGCTAGGGCGCTGCCCAGCACACACTTCCGTTCCAGCTCTTCGCCATCTAGTCCAGTTGGGTCTAGTTGAGTTTGATAATAAGGCAAAGGCACGTCTCTTCCATTACGCGCTATGTGCTCCAATTGTACTTCACTTGTACGCTAATGAATTGGATCGTGTGAGTGTGGCCGTAGAGACGCATTTGCATCTCATGAGTGATCAGAATATGGATATCCACCATAACTTCCGTCACTTAATTCCTCGTATGCTAGCCAACGGTAATTTTGATGCCGCGGCAAAACTCCTATCCGATGCAAATCTGATAGATCGTATGCTTAGTTGCGGATATGAAGGATTCTCTCACACAATGGAAGCCTTTTTCCGCCTGCTTAGTGCGTGTGATCTAGTGGACAAATTAGCCGCCGCTGGTCAACCCCTCAAAGGCATTACGCTCAATTATGAAAAAATTGAATGTTCTCTCAGGGATGTGCAGTTAGCTCGGGGCCCGGGGTTCCTCCAGCGTTGCCTACTGTCGAATAGTGAATCACCGCTGTATCACAGTGCTCACCGGCGACTAGATCATGAGGGTGGTGGCGTGCTGTACTCCGTACTGGTTCCTCTTAAAGCTTATGCCGAAGACCAGAGCTCGGCAACGCTGACGAGTGCCTCCATGCTACCAGTCATTCACCTTCACTGCCGTGGGAACTATCTGGTTGCATCCACTCTCAGCGACGTGATGGTTTACGACGCACACACGCTTGACGAGATTGCGCATATGGACTTGCCGTTCAAAGACTCAGGAGGTGATACCATACTGGGCTCGTTCGTAAGCATCGGGTCACGGGTGGTGATCTTGGCATTCACACGAGTCTTGCTCTGGAATTTTGGCGCTAACGTCTCCCTTGTACTCGAGGATACATCGGCAGCCGTGGCACCCTGCTCGCTGGACATATTTGGTGACTCCCTCATCGTATCCCAGCCCGCCAAGAGTAACTGTTTCTCGATAGTAAGCGTCAGTCAACGGCAGAAGATACAAGAACTCCCACCGGCTCAGTTGTCTGATCGACCCTGTCATGCCCGATTCTGTGGGCCCTACCCTATGGTCGTGGAAAGTAGCACCGTGCGCATATTCGCCGATTCCAAGCCGATCTCCTTGTTGCACGACGGCCTTGTCGGGGTAGTGGACTGCTCAACCGACGGGCAACTGGTGGCGTCGGCGGTAGGCAGCGTGCTCTGGTTGTGGAAAAGCACCGGCGCGTTGCTGCATCGCATCGATGCGTCGCTTAACCGGATCGCCCACCTTTCCTTCAACCCCACGGGCTTTGTCTTAGCAGTAGAGCGAGGGGACGGGGTGACGGTGTGGCAAACCGCCACAGGGATGCCCCTCTCACGACTCTTGAGCCCCTTTAAGGAGGCGCAGGGCACCCTTCGCCCTGGGGTCTGGTTTGGTGGCAATGGGAGCCTCTTGCTGGGCCGCGTCGGCCGGCATGCGGTCGCGTGGCATGCCGAGAGCGGGACCCCTTTGGGCGCCCTCACCGCCCATAATGGCGTCTTCACGCGGATGTGGGAACATCATAATCTGGTTTTCACCACCCTCAGCAGCGGGGGCGGGGTGAAGGTGTTTGATCTCGCCACGAACCCCCTACCGCCGACGCATGAGGCGAAGAGCGGGATGGTCGACGGCGACAACCTTTGGAACGGCCGCGTCTCCGGCAGTGGCATCCGATCCGTCTCGATGAGCCCCTTTCCGGGGTCACACCTCGTCGCCGGTGTGAATCGCAACGGACGGCTCTTCGTCTTTTCGACGCGGTCGGGTGCGCGGCTGGATCGCGTGGTGGATCCTCAGCCGCCTGACGCGCCGGTGCATGCCGCGGTCGTCGCGGGGTCGAAACTCGTCGCCTACGTCAGCTACGCGAGCCCGTGTGTGAACTTCCTCAGCCTTCCTGAGGACGCCGCCCCGGAGGCGCCGGCGACCCTCACGTCGCGCCCGATTCCGAGAGAACTTCTGTGGGAGCCGGCGGTGGACGCGTATCTGTACGCCTCCCACAAGGAGCCGTCGTATGTGGGGCTGACCTACACCTACCACGGTCGAAATCGGATGATTGTATATAAAACGGACACCCCTGGTCTGTGTTTTCAGCTGGCTGTCGGGGGAGCAATCATGTTTGTTTCTTTTCTGGAACAATTCGCTTACACAGTGGAAAAGGGGCGATGGATACGGCTATGGAACCTCTCGAAAGGGCTTGAACGGACGTCATATCAACATCCTCATCCTATAGTGGTGGCGGCAGAGTGCAGAGGGATCAAGAATGCGATACTGTGTCTCGATGATACTGAAACGATGTATTGTGTAGGTGTTCGTAACATTACATCCTCTACGCAAGCCAGTTTTATCCTCACCAAGATTGAACTCCCGAATCTCCGCCGCAGCTGCTCGTCTCATCTTGTGCATTTCATGGCATGTATAAAACAAAGCATCGTCCTACTGAGTGCTGGAAGTGATGAAAAAGCGATGCGACTTAGTATCACAGCAGCGAATCGTGATGATGTGTTGCATGAGACGCCGATCGATGGGATTAGCTGTATTAGCATCGGGGTAAGAAACGACGACGAAGTGCTTGTTATCGGCTTCGAAGACGGGCGCATACTTTTCTATCGTGTTGTGGAGCCCACAGTCTAAATTATGTCTCTTCTACGCCGCTCGTGATTACCTCTTCCTACTTTGGATTAACAAGCAAAATTGCATCTTTTATATCTTTCATGGATAAGTCTCACGGTGATAATTGTGTTGTCTTGTTTGGAAACTAATGTAAGGTATATTGCTACTTGAACATTTATGTATATTTAGTTCTCACTCATATTTTTCCATTTAGACTCCCAGGTCACGACGGCATATGTTGCGGATAAATCAATTCAACTCCGTTTCATTAAAAATGTGCGAAATAATCTATGCCGGGGCGTCTATCCGAAGAAAGAATAATTTTTTTTCCTGTGGCTTACCTTTTTCTTCCGCATTCATTTCTTTTTCCGTTTGGAAGTTAATACACGCAAGAAATTGTGGCCCAACTACTAAAATAATATGCATAGAAAACGCACTAGCGTTTACAAGCGGCAAAGAAGCGAGTCGAACAGTCCGTTGCCGCGCAATGGGCCTTCTGCCTACCCACCCTCCATGGTAACACCCTGCCGCCCGATCAACCTAGATCTTCTGACAGCATTGACGCCATGTGCGGCTTATTCCGCACGCTCGGTCTCCGTCTGCACAGGCGGGACTGAGGGACTTTCAGACGATAGTGTGTTTGTTTTAGATATTCGTGGAGGTCAAGGCTTGAACTATAAACACCAGCAGAGCAATGACTCTTGCTCTGCTGACTTTTCTAATTACATAGATCCTGAAGCTACGCAGTGGCAGCGTGAGCTAAACGAATTCTTCGATCGACTCGACCAACGGCCTCTTCATTTGGTTCCATGAAAATGGCCTCAATGATAGATTTATGAGATATATTAATATATATATATATATATAGATTAATATATCGACATTTTTTTCATTTTTAGATAAGTGTGGCTCCTGCCACCTTTAGCGTGCATTTTTTTTTCGCGATTCTCTATTTTTATTGCGATCTTCATAGATATTGTTTATACTATTATTATCTTCGCCATTTGATTGTTCGCCACTCCTTTTTTTTCGCTTACACACATGATTTTCTTCATAGATCGGAACGTTTGTTGTTGTTGTTTTTGTAGATCGCAACGTCATATAGATGCAGAAGTAAAAGTAATTCTACCTTTATCACTTAAGTAGATGCCTTCTCCGTTATTATTTTCCGTACTTCCTCAAAATCAATTTACTTGTTATAAGGCTGTCTTTTCCGCAATACCGGCAATCTAATGATGGAGATGGTGAAGAAACTATTCCTAAAGGATATAAATTTCACACCTTGATGGATGACCATATAGTAAGTGTTGGATAAACAACTCATCGTTTGTCATGCTGTGTCAAAACCTCCCCGTCTATCCCTCCTTTTACGTGTCTTACCAGCTTGCTGGCTAACTCGATTTTAAAAAAAAAGGTAGAAGAAGAAAAGGGAAAAAAAAAAAATCCCAACACCGAGGGAAACATAAACCAAGAAGAAACCGAAGACCCCAACCATGACACGTGATGATCTCAACCGTCGCCGTCTCCGCGGTCTTTACGATCGTAACAAACGCCGCGTCGCGGCGTTGGCCGACGCGCGGGACCGTCGGCGGGAGGGCGACGATGAGGTCTTCGCGCCACGCCGCTACGTCGTCAGTGAACGCCGCACGCGCACGGAAGGCTTCGGCCGTGGCGGGGTGCAGGTCCGACAGGTGATCCGCCGCGTAACGCGACTCCCCCCGCGGGAGATGTTCCGCAGTCGGGGGATTTTCCGCCGCGGGAATCGCGATCGCTTCCGCCGCGATGACGGCGACCTCCGGGAAGGGCTGCGGGAGCGCTTTCAGGACCGCTTCCAGGAGCGTCGTCGGGGAGGGGGGCGTGGGAATCGCGAGCGGGGGGGGCGTCTGGGCGACGCCGCACGGAGTCGTCTTCGCCTCCGCCGACGTCAGCGTCCGCCGCCGCCGCCGCCGAGGGGGCGTGGGAATGAAACCCCTCGCGGAGGGGCGCTGAATGAGCGCGGCGGGGGGAACCAGCGGCGGCCTCGCCCCGCGCGCGAGAAGTTCCCCACACGTGAACAGCTGGACGCGCAGCTCGACCGGTTTCGCGCGAACTAGCCCGATGGGTGGGAGCGAGTATGTTAGGATGATTTATTAGACAATGGGAAAAGAAGAGGAATGCAGAGTCTGTCAACGTTTGTCTGTCGTGACGACATGGCAAAGAAGAAAAATAATAAGAGGCGTATATAGGCATATACAAATATAAGATATTTACTTATTTATATGGGTATATGTATGGGTGAATCGATTTTGAGGCCAGGCAACATTTTAAGTCTTGATCCGTAAAAAGATATAAGAAAAAAAAAAGAAGACCGGGAAATATTAAAACAAGGGAAAAACCAACCCCTATTTAGAGTCTATTGGGTTCGGCACTTAAGTATTACTGCAATACTCCTGTGAAATGGATAATTCAACCTTTGAAAGGCGGTGTACTTCTGCTCGAGAAACGGTTCCGCACGGATCCATCGCCAGTGTTTTCGCCTCCTTTCTCTCCCCAGATTCGGGTCCTTATCGTTAAAATCTATACTGCCCCTTTTTTCCTCCTCTTTTATGTCTCTTTGCTATCCAGTGGTCCTTTTTGAGTGGCATGTGATGTGAACGTTGGCAAATGCAATGCAGCAGAAGGGGGATAAGAGGGCCATTATGCCTTGTGCATCTGGGCAGATGTAATTCCAGAGGCGGACCTCCTTTGGGTATTCTGCCACGCTGCGATCTCTTCTCGCTGGTGTTACCATGCATTTATCTGCACACGCGCGACCGCTTATCTTTCGCATGATGCAGCTCGGCACTCAAGACCTCTTTCCTCAATATTCTATAGAAAAATACCAAGCTACTCAATTTTCATCATTTTTATCCTTGTTATTCTCATTACCGTTGCATTATTTACATGACTCATGATAATTTGTATGTTTTTTTATCGAAATGTCTCTGATTGTTTCCTCCATACCAACCCCGTGGAATGGGCACTAGTTCAAGAAGCACTATCGCCACTCTGGCACGATATGATCGTTTCTAGAACAAATCGATGTAAACCCTCCCGAATTTTTGCTCTCTCAGACTGGAGAATCTTTGGTGAAGTAATCGGAATACTTATACAGGCTGCTCCATGTGCGTAGTGCTCGGTTCAAGTGGGTTTATCTTTGATTGCATGTGTGTACGCTTCCTATTACATACACAAATGGATTATTAATGATCTGAAACACCGCAAAATATGCCAAAAGGTTGTCCATGCATTAACCTGGGTATCTCGTTTTGATCTAAATGCAGGGGTGATCACATTCATCAAGCTCGAAGCATAGGACTTTGCTTGGTAAAACGTAAAACATAAAGGATATTGAAAGCTTCCGTTGTATGTATGTATATATATATATATATTTATGAACCTTCCTACCGATACTGCTGCTGTTTTCCTTATGATAATGGTGGATATTCTTCTTTTGTTTGACTACATTTCCTCGTTTAGTATTATGAAGGGGGGGGGGGGGGAAGAATAGAGTTATCTATATTAATGAGTAGCATCTATTGTGTGAGGACTAACACCTACTAAGTCATTCCTTGTTGAAACCCTTATTACGTCATGTAAAAGTTTAATAAGACAGGTAACTTATACCAAATACCAGGGATAACAAAAAAAGAAGTGATTAAATCTTTATACCATACAGCGGCATTGCAATGACAGACTTATACATACGAACGACACTTACCCTGGACTCTAGCAAGCAACACTTTGGCCCCCCAGATGCTATTGACTACCGCTCTCACCCTGGCTCACGGGCACGTGATGACCTCACAATTTTCGAATCTATGAAAAGCACTGAAGCTGATCCTATTGAGGACCTGAGTGTTATGAAGGCCTCTATTTACAGCTACAAGAATCGAAGGATTATCACACAGTGGCTACGCGATGTGTGTGCCGCATTCCATCTAAAAAGTACCACGCTGTGTCTATCAATACAGCTGACGGACGCCTACTTGTTAGGAAACATGCGAACCATTGGAGTGGACAGCTGTCAGTTGGCAGCCGTGGCGTGCCTGTGGGTGGCGGCGAAGTTTGAGGAAGTGGATACGGACCTGCCAGGAATCTCCAAAATTGTGGGTGTTTGCGACGGGGCCTACAGTGCTGATCAAGTGTTGGATATGGAGGAGAGCATTCTCCACTTTTTCAAATGGTGCCTCCCTCACACAACCATTGTTAATCACCTATATCTGCAGATACATATGATCAGTAATGCGTCACTAGTAGTGTGGAAAGAAGTAAGCGAAAAGTGCAAACCAGATGCGAATTCGTTGCTGGTGAAACTTCTCAGGATTGATCAAAATCACCAGTGGGTGTGGAGCAGTATTGCTTTAAATGCGGAAGCCACGGTAAAGGAGGTACTACCACAGCTCTGCATGGTGGATAGGATACCGTTGACGTCTTCGCTGGAGGTGTACCAATTATTTGGTGTCGACTTTTTGCTCGCACAGCGCGTGAAGCTGAACATGAAAATTAATGAACTTCCAGGTGACGGAAACGGCGAAGTTCGCCTCTATTTATCTCTGACGACTTCGCAGATGGCGTCGATTTTCGTAGAAAACGACGGGTATATCTTTCTGCGTTTGGTTAATTACAATTTTCTGGATTTGTGTAATTTTCTCATGCAAAACATCGTCCTTCACGTCGAATTTCTCCGCTTGCGGAGCCATGTCAATACGCTTGGCGTGCTCGGTCTCGCACTGTGTCTCTCGAGTTCCAGTGAATTAAAAGAAAAAAAGACAGCGATTCAGCATATTGTAAAAACACTAAAGATATCCCCCACACGAGCTCTGGCCGCTGCGGATCTTTTATGCACCAAGTATATAGATATGATAGCTTCTCTGCCGCCTAGTCCTTCTCTCTTGGCACCTTCTGATGACATACGAAAGCGGCTTTCGTTTTGCTTTGATCGGCAGCTTCCATAAACGCAGTGCCAATAAAAAATACATTGTTTCCGTACAGATAAAAAATGGGCGTGATATATTTTGCTAATAAATGCGCCTTTTTTGATTTTTTTTTACTATTTCGCTTGCATACACTTAACATAAATATGTACTGGTTCTTGCTTTCGGAAGAAAAAAAGCCAAGTATTAGTGGTTCTCAACGTGAAGCACTTCGGTTGAAACATAGCACATGATCTTTTTGTGAATTATGGCTTCCGACTTCATCAATCCTTTCTTCATCATCTTTCCATAGCTCCACGATTGTTCTTGCCAACAATGCGGCGGTCCATTTGGCGCTGCTTCCAGACAGGCGCCAACGTCCCCTTCGGGGTTCAATATAACGCGGCCAAGATGAAGCACTGGCCCTCCCAAAAGGTGCCAGAAAATTTTGCATTTACCCAAGAACAACGCCTCAAGGCCAAGGCCATGCCCAGGGACACGGGCAAAATACCCAGGGATTTCGTCCTGTCCGTCCTTTACCGCCACCAGCCGTGCGAGGTGAGTGCACTCTGGGAGTACTGCACGGACGACCCTCAGATTGTCCTAGATAGCAAGCGCCACCTCCGCGACGTGCTCCAGCAGGCCAGAAACGAGGGTTTTATTAGCTTTGAGATGGATCCGGTCACGCACCGCTGGCTCTGTCATCTCACACGGGAGCGCTACGAGGAGGTACGCCGCCTCGTGGGCGCGAGAAATGAGGCAATCGAGCAGAACCTAAAGCTGAAGCCCTCCACGGAAGAGACGGCCAATCTCTGCATGAGTTTCCAAGAAATGGATCAGGAGACCAAAAGAAAGCATCTGGACCTGCTGACGGAGCAAGTCGCCGAGGTGGCGGCCCACCTTAGGCGTTTCCAGCGAACAGAGATTGATTATCTTCCCTACACAGATCTTAACGGCAAGGTGAACTTCATGTGGTGGTACGAAACAGTAGACACAAAGGCAGCACTTCCGCCTTCTAACGAAGACACTAGCGGGAAGTTGAATGAGTAGCCCATTGAAGCAGCAGTATAGTGAATCCAGGATGAAGATGGAGAACGTTCAAAAATCGCGATGATTCAAGCTAGCAGTCGTATTGCTACTCTACATGTGCGTGGGTTTTTTCTCCCTTTCTTGTATAATAGGAGGCTAAAAAAAGATGATTTGAGGTTTAGACGTCTCAGAAAAGTGCTTCGGGGGTAAACTGGTGAACTAACCGATATTACTCCCTCGACCTTCACTGCACACTGTAGTAGCATATGCATTATCCCTTAAGTAATTCATATAATCCCTTCCGTCTCATTCCACTTTTTTTTCCTGAAATACCGATACCAACAACTATGGTCGGTGAAAATATATGATTGAAAAAGCATCAAATAGTGATATATTTATGTGTATTTGATAATACGCATTTCCGTCTATTCAAAGTTCTACTGTTACTACTTTTGCGAACGACTACATATTGGTGGTGCACCCTTTTAATTCATACAGTTGTTACGTTCTCCAAAAATGCCAAACACCAATGAGGTAGCTCCTCAGGACCTTTTTTTTTACCGGTCTGTGCTGTACCAGCAAATATTGCAGGGGCCTATTGGCTCCAAACCTGGTGCGGAGATGATGCATACGTTGCGGGAGGAACTGGTTCGTTCGATGGAAAACACAGAGTTCCCGGAGTACACCGCGGTGCTTGGTGAACTCTACAAAGTTGTGACTGACAGTCTGGTTTCCGCCGCGCATCGAAACGCGCCACACGAGCTGATCAACAACAGTGGAAGCGACTGGTGCATCGCGACGGACGAAAAGGAATACCAGCTGATGCAGGACGATATCTATGCCGAAGATGACGTTGATGATATCGAGACCAACACCAGCAGCAATAGCCGCTCGAATGTCAGGGACTCAGATCCGAAACAACGCAAACGTGAGGAGGTGAAAAAGAAGCGCCGGGAGGAGGAAGAAATGTTGCTGAACGAAAAAAAGGTTCTGGATGAAAAAAACAACGTGTACCGAACCATTGGACCGTTCCCTGCTCCTCGGCTAACAGTACGGTCCTCACACAGCATATTCCCTAGCCGCAAGGCGCTGCAGCACCGTACTGCGGTGGAAACCCCATCTCCGTCGTCGTCTTCGGATGACGAAAGTAAGGACTCAGAGCTTCCGCCTTTGGGGAGCTCTTCGGAGTGTGGGGACGCGGTCGACCACTTGATAGAGTTCCTAAAGCCTTTGTCGGTTGACTCACTCAAAAAGGTTGGTGAGAGTGCCAAGGCAAAGCTGCGGCCCTCGTCACCCCACGACGAGTTTGTCTCACAAATCGCCAAAACAGCCGTGCGATTGGGCTGTGAAAAGGCCTGTGCATTGATGGATCGTCAAAAAATCATCGACGACGTAACCACGCATGTGCAGACCGGCACACTGCCTACCACTGCCAGCATCGACTTCCTGAACACACTCCCCGAGAACCTCAAGCAGTCGCTGGGGAGCATACTCGGCCTGCCAGAGGAAAAGCCGCCGGTGGTGGATATGTGGGAGCGCATAGTGGCTATGGGCTTCCTGTCGGTGCTGACGAATTTGCGGCTAAAGCCACTGAAGAAGATTGTAACTGAGCTAAACATCGAACTGCCGGAATCGAATTCAACCGAGACATTCTGTGAGGCAATCGTGTTCTCCGCGTTTCCGCGTGAGCGTCTCCGCGCCAAAATGTCCAAAGCAAAGCAGAAAAGAGTTAAATTTGCGGTTCCAGTGGACGGCATGTACACAAAGGGCGACATGGGTTTCATTTCGTTCGAAGTTCTCAACATCTCGATGCTGGCACGTGAGTCAGAGCGGCACTACTCGCCCGAATTCAACTTCGCCCAGCTAAAGTGGAGTCTGCTGTGCATGACGAACAAGGAGTCCCTCGCCCTGTATCTTTGCCAAACCGGTAGCGTCCACTGCAAGTTTCTCATCACCGTCATCAACCAAAACAATCAAGATGATTCCATATGCAACGAGGGCACACAGAGCTTCTCTGCGGTGTCGCAAGAAAATGACTGGGGCTTCAATAACGTAATCAAGTTCAACGACCTCATGAACCTGGAGCAAGGATTCGTCAACCCCGAGACGGACAGTATCCTAATCCAGGTCGGCATCGTTCTCGTGGAGCCACTCAAGCCGGCCGTAGCGCGGGAGAAGTCGGCGCCGCAGAAGGAGAAAAAAGCGCCTGCGCCTATCGTCGATGAGGCCGCGGTCCGCCAACTTCTCGAGGACGAAAAGACCGAGAATCTCCGCAAGAAGATAAAGCAAGACATCAATAAAACTATCAAGGAAGAGGAAAGAACCCGCAAAGATATCACCCAACGAAGTACCAAGGCGTACCATGATTTGTCAGAGCGCTTAAGGCAGGAAACGAAGCGGGTCCTGAAGGAGCTGGCAGACCGCGAGCGACGTGAGGAACAAGAGCGACAGTTGGAACTCGACAAGATTCGACATGCTCAGGAGCAAACCGCTGAAATGATGATGCGGCTCGAAAAGTTGAAGAAGGAAAATGTCGAACTTAACCAGGAGAAACAGCAGCTCACCCACGAAGTAAAGGAAGCGAAGATAAAAACAGAGAAGCTCAACCAAGAACTCAAAGGACTCATGGATAAGGTGCAATCAGCCCAGCAGAAAGTGAAAGCGCAGGAAAAGAAGATCGAATCAGTCAAAAATTGCTATCAAAACCTTTCGACTCAAGAATCTGTCACGCCAAGTTCCTCAGAAGAGGACGAAAATGACTTCATAAATGCCAATCTCACTCGACTTATTGATGAAATGACTGTGGACGTTTAATTCAAGGGTGGATGTTTTTGTTTGTTTTTGGCTTTACCTCTCTCTTGGTCCCCACGCTTGGTTGATGCTTCATCTGTGTCGTTCTTTTTTTCGAACTCGAAAGGCTTGACAACTCTAATCCCAAATGAGTGAATTATAAATAAGGAAATGGTGATTGTTTTGTTGTTTTTTTGGCTGTCTATTATGTGTAAGTCGGTAAGTATTTGTATTTATAACTTAATAATAATAGTACCCCTCCAGAAGGCCCATACTTCTTATGTGCTCAGCGCTAATTGCTCAGCTTGACTTTTCCATTCAAAACTAACCTATTTTACTCTTGTAAGTTTTCCCTCTTCCATTTTTCTTACTCATTGTATCGACTCCTCTAGGTGCGTATCTTTGAGAGCGATTTCGCACAGAAGATGCCTTCTTTTAAGCTCGTTGCGCCAGCTATCATCGCTGGCATTGTTTTTGGTATTGCATGTATGTTCTTAATTGACGGAATCCTTCTCGCCAAAAAAGAAGTGGTTCCTGCCGATGGGTTGTCCTTCTCTATATGTGTTCCACCGATTTTCTCTTTTGTGGGTTTACTGCTGTTTATGCTCGTCGCACCCTCAGATATCAGGGAAGATCGAAGCAAAGCCAAGGTTGTCCTCTTTATTTCGTGGCTATGTATGTTAAGCTCGAGTTTAGCAGCATTAACGGTCGTATTCCTATGCTATAGGGGCCCGCAAAATCGGGAACGGGCCGCACCCGGTGTTGAGCTGGCCATGTTTACAGGTATTGTCCCCCTCGCCGGTTCCATACTGTGGTGGAGTCGGAGCGCTGATAGCGGCAGTGATTGGTAGAAGCGGACGCTAAGTCTAGAGAATTGCGTGATATACTTTTTAGCATACTATTTTTTCATCGATACCTACGACGTTTCATTCGATACACAAATCTGTCTTGTTATATTGGAATGAGAAAAAAATGAGCGCTGTGGAATAAAAGCACTAGTAGCAGAATATAAAGGTGACTTCACCGACTTTTTAGAGAAGAGCACAGTAATACAAAATGTTTCGCTCCCTATACCAAACTGATGAAGAAGTAGGTAAAGGATAGTGAATAACTCTACTCCAACTTGGCTGTTTGCTTTATTTACTTAGTTCACCTTTAGCATGGAAATTTAATGCGGCGAATACATTTTAATAAGTTGATCACCGCAGCTGCCCTGCGGGCCTTCGACTCGTCTCAGCGATTCGGAAAGGAATTAGGCTTTGGGCATAAGATGCAGGATATCCCTGTTCTCACTGGCAATCCCCGTCCTGTGGCACGTGAAGATGCCTGGCATTGCGCCTATAAACTCTCTGATCGTATGGAATTTGTGATTCGTGATGTTTTACAAAAAAACAAATGGAGTGAATCTGAAATACAGCGTGAACTGGATCAAATCTTTGAGCGTAAGGTGCTCGGCAGCCACGCATCTCTCAACACGTGGTCCACCGTAGAGGAGTTCCAGCGGACGCCGTGGTACCGTCGCTACAAGCCCAGTGATGACACAGTTGCCAAGTTTATATCATACGAGGCGATGAAACTTCTGGAAGAAGCACTGATCCCGCCGTCGCTTCGTGTCGACCCATACTCCCACCTCCGTAAGCGCCACATGGAGGATAACTGGATGAACGATCGCTTTTCGGAGGACTCTGCTAAGTACGTGACGCGTGAAATGCTGGCTCAGCAGACGGTTGGGATGCCGCAGTATGGCAGAATCACTCGAAAAAAATTTATGGAATTCGAGAAAAAATTTCTCACACTCCAAGGGTCTAACCTGCACATCAATGAGGCGTACGCCGCCTGGCTTCGAACCGTGGATCCGCGAAACAAGAAGAAGTAAAAAAGAAAGCGCACGAGGGATTTATCGCTTCAGTGCATCTCCTCGACGAGTGGTGTTCCCCCCCCTCCCCGCACCTCCGTGAGGATGAATTAAGTATTCTGTGAATTTTCAACTTACTACACAAACATATTATAACTTGTTCCTCCACGGCTTCGTGAATTCCACTAGTGGTCATAATAATGTTTCAGTACTTTTGTTCCGGGTCTTTGAGTGTTGAGTTTTTTAGGATTCGTTTGTAAAGGAACCGTGTCCGGTTTGGCTGTTCGTTTATGCCGCTCAGGCAGGCAAAGGCCAAAAAGGAGTCTCTGGAGCCGCTGGCTGCCGCCGCGACGGATGCGGTACGGCAACAACAGTATCAGGATATCGAGGAGCGCCGATTAAAGGAATGGGAAAACTACCAGCGAAGCCACCGGTCTGCTGAAATGCGGAACTGCAGCCGGGCGTTTCTCGACATCAGTATCGGCGACGTTCTGACCGGACGCCTCGTTGTCGAGCTGTTTGACCAGGTGGTGCCCGCCACTGTGTCGCATTTCTGCTCCCTGGTCACGGGGAGTGCCGGCACCGACCCCGCAACTGGGATTAAAAAGGACTACCTGCACTGCCCTCTCAGTTTCATCGAAAGGGAACACAAATTGCTGGTTTTCGGGGAGCGTAATGTGGCATGGGTAGACCCTATCGCCGACGAGAACTTCGCCTTGCGACACGCGGAGCGTGGTCTGCTGACAATGATCTCATACGGACCACATACCGCGAACTACGCTTTCGGTATCACACTTGCACCATCGCCGAGCATGGACTTTCGTCAGGTAGTGTTTGGAAAAATCGTGACAGGTCTCTCGGTGCTGGGAAAGCTGGAAAACTTGCCTGTGGACGCAGTAGGGCGCCCGCTGAGCCCTGCTGGCATCTCATTCTGCGGTGCGCTTACGGGAAGTCGACCATCAGGTCGCTGGAACCAGAGCCCGGTGATAGAGCAGCATTCCGTAGAAGAGGTGGCAGACCAACAATGAACATCCTACATGACATATTCTGAAGCGTTGCGCTCAAGAGTTTGTGCCAAGCCTTTCCTTCCCATTAAATGTAATTTAGTCAATATTAGTTAAATACGCAATTCTCACTTTTGCTTCCTTGCCCAAGTTTATGTATTAGAAAGCCTTAAAGCTATTAACGCTTGTAGATTGACACCAGTGCTGTTGTTTCCCTTTTTTTCTCACGAAAGTATCTTTATCGATATCTTGTTCACCCTCCTCATCGAAATAGTTTCATTTCCATACAAGGGATAGCGTCTTTGTAACTACTAGTTGAATCACATTTGACTACAATTACCACACTCATTTTTTCCCATTTTAGCGTATTATTATCTGAATCCATGCGTGTTACGATATTGCCGGAACGGCGGCTGAACGGGAAGCCCGGCCCCAGCCCCTGCTGACGGGGCTCTAGCCTCGATCAATTTGTCGTAGCCACCATCCCGTAACCCAACTCGTGAGGAAAGGATAACGGCGATCATTCAGTTTTTCTTCCCCACCAATACAAGATGCTTAGCCCTGACAACACGATTAGAAGACGAGCCTGATCAGGGATTTGTGTTTGGCGTGAAATCCTTTCACATTGTAAATAAAAAATAATAATCCATGGTACTCAAACGGTTTAATTTTACCGTGACCTCGTCTTTATAGGACAGAATCACGGGGACCAAACCATTTGAACGCAGTAATAATGACTACTGCTAGGCCATATGTTAACTATGTAGGCATTTCGCATTCCAAAGGCTCTGTTGTTCGGTGATTTCATTCAATATGCGCTGCAGAATCCCGGACCCTAAGACATATCCCTACGAGAAATTTGACATAAGAATTCTAATCAATCCTACAATATTTGAAAAAAAATGATGTTTGCTGCTAATGCGGGTTTGATGCGATAAAGAAGACTTTGGTAATGCCAACAGTCAGTTGGGTCGATGGCATTGCTCAGTTAAATGTCATTCAAGGGGATAAGATATCTCCGTAGCATAATGACAAAGGGAAAACGGCTTGGGGTATTAAAGAAGCCAAAGAAAGAGGCCCCTGGATTACACACAGCGAAAATATTACCACGGAGGCGACTTGGCGTTAGTACGGGGCGGGGACAGTCCCTGCTCGGCCGCCGCTCCCCCAAGAGACGTTTGCGAATTTGAAGGGGGATGGAGAGGGATTTTGATATCGTGCCTCTTAGTCGAAAGCTCTGAACTGGAAGGTTTAAAAACCTAAGTTTGTAAAGGCAAAAGCGAATGAAAAAGACAATAACTCTTGCCTCAATGGCCTACTTTTAACGCGAGTGCCCTGAAATAGTAGTTCGATATTGTGTAAGCTTTTTTTTTGCTGAACCAAGAATATTCCACGGAAATTTATAGACACTGTTAAAAAAGGTTGGATGCAAGCAATCCTTGTCTGGTTTAGAACTAAGCAACACTCAGCTGAGGCTGACAAGCCTTCGATAAACTAAGCTGCCATTGGCATTCTCCAACTCCACACCACTCTTATAGCAGGCTAGCTGTCCCACTCCTGTCGTTTACCAGAGTTTGCATGCCACAACCTGGAGGAAGACAATACAGTTTACAAGCCGCTTGGATCCAACTCCACCCCAACAGGTAGCAAATGGACAATACTCTTACGACATTTGCATTGAAAGCGCTGCACGAGTGTGATCATGTCTTGCAACAATAGACTACATGGGCCTTTATAGAGCTGTGTAGTGATGAGTTGTATAGTGTTTATTATTTCTTTCACTTGATGCGACATACGGTTTCGGAAAAGAGTGGCCTGAGTGAAGTAAATATACCAATGCTCAAACAACTGAGCCTGTTCAAGCACATTGCAAGCCCATGAGAGAGCCACCTCGATATCCCCCTCTTGATGCCGCCACTTTTTCATCTTCGAAAAGAGGCTCCACATTGTTTTCCTAGTTGACTTGGCATCCTCACGCTTTTCCATGCAGCTCTGAAGAGTCTCTCGCAGTTCCCGCTCACAGGACGAAAACTTTTGAAGCGCTTGTAAAACCTTTGACATATCACCGGGAGCGCTCATTGAGGTCAATGGCTCCATCGCGCTACATAGCGAGGAAAAGTAGCATATCTTTGCCTCAATGAAGCACAACGATGCAGCAGCACCACATTGATGCCACACCTCCCTGAAGACGTACAAATCAGGCGTTAAGAAGGCTCCACTCTGGATAGATCGCATGAGCAAGCGCATAAGCCAGTAGACGCGGAAACCAGGCTGTTCTGGAGCCTTATAGACTTCCATAGGTATGGAAACAGGTGAAAACTGGATCGGAAATGTAGGATACGGACTAACTTCGTCTTGGTTGCTGCTCGAACTCCGCAGCAGGTGGATTATCCGTCCCACATCCTCAGTATTCCGGCGCACTAAAAGTGCTAACTCAGGCGAGAGGTTAGGTATCAAAGCATCAAGACGGACCATGGCTGCTGTATACATCTTTACAGCCTCATTGATTTTATCTGCATGGTTCAGTGACGTTGCCTGCTGAAGTATGGTGAGGTTCTGGATTAGCTCCTCCGCTAAAAGATCCATAATACTATTTTGAAATGAATAAAAAGCCACTTAATCAAAAGCGTCTATAAATGTGCATACTCTAAAGAGAAAGAAGGAGCAGAGAGGAGTGTTGAAATAAAGTTTAATTAAATTCGAAAAAAAATCGTACAAAAGAGTTCATAGAATATTAGAAACGCTTATGGCGAATTCATATTTTTAGTCAAATCCTAAATAAAACGTAGCGAAAAATTGCCTTAAATTCAAGGAAGCAGTGTGCCTTTAGTTCAAGCGGCGGGCCTCACGTTCAGTTTCCATGAGGGATAGCATGTCGTTCTCCTTGCATGGGCCCTTCACGTTGCGCACGATTGTGCGGTTCGCATCAGGAGAACCAGCGGGAGCCATGAGACGAACGCGAACCTGAGTCACGTTGCCGCGGGAGCCGGTGCGACCAATAACCTTGATCACGATCCCAACCTGAGCCTCGTCAGTCTGGGCAACGACATCCTCGGCCTTCTTGGTGTCCTTCTTTACGTCAGTCATGAGAATAAAGGCTTTCGAAAAAGAAAAGATGATAAGGGGGAAAGTAAAAGAATGAATATATAATAAGAGCATAGAATTGAACTCATGGTGGGATCAGTGATAGTCAAAATAATGATAACATTGATATTATTCGAAAAGGAAAAAAATATATGTGAAGCTAAAGCAGTTGTTGAACTAAGGTGAAATAGAATGACCCCATTAGTTCAGGCGGCGGGCCTCACGTTCAGTTTCCATGAGGGATAGCATGTCGTTCTCCTTGCATGGGCCCTTCACGTTGCGCACGATTGTGCGGTTCGCATCAGGAGAACCAGCGGGAGCCATGAGACGAACGCGAACCTGAGTCACGTTGCCGCGGGAGCCGGTGCGACCAATAACCTTGATCACGATCCCAACCTGAGCCTCGTCAGTCTGGGCAACGACATCCTCGGCCTTCTTGGTATCCTTTTTCACATCCGTCATGTTTCCCCTAAATTGGAAGGAACTTTTACAATAGAAGATGAGACGGGGAAATGAAAAAGATTCTTTTGTAGAAAATCAAGAAAATACAGGCCCCAAAAGTTATCAGGAATTGACTTATACGTACACGTTCACAGTGAATGATTATAGTTTTGAACGGATATGCAATACTTTGGTTACCCTGTCATCGCTTTACGCGAAAATCAGCTTAAGAAATGTATATAGGCTGAAAATAGCAATAGTCAGATCAACTAAACATCCTACTTTTGAAGAGTAGAATGCATTTTCAACTCGTCCCGTCATTCCACCCAGTCATCGACGAATGTTTCTATGTTGTGCACAGACTAAACGAGCCAGTTAGCCTTGGAACGAGCGCTCTAATTCCTTCAAAAGGTGCATGCGACCGTCGATGCCCATGCTCAACGCGCAACGAGTAATTTCGCTGGGAGTAGGACACTTGACTTCACCAAAAATGTAGGTTCGCAGGTAAAAAAAAGTGAAAAGGCTCATGATACCCTGGCAATCCATTCGATCCGTCATTCCACCGTGTCCAGGGATAAGATCACCAAAATCCTTGAGTTTAAACGCCCGCTTAAGACCACTCGCAAAGAAGCCCCCAAAAGGAGCTAGCAGTGATGCAAAGGACCCCAACACAATTGCATGCTTTTGTGCAGGGGACACCTTCAAGCTGTGCCAATAGTTTCCGGATATCCACTGCACCCACGATGGCAGCTGCACATCTACCTGAACAAACAACGGGTCCTTTTCGCATTCGAAATTGACGCTCTTAGTGAAACCAACTGCTGGACAGTACATTTCGGGAAAATAGCTGAGGAACCCACAGAACCAAAAAGACCAAATAACAGTGAACAAAAAAGAGCCTAGAAAGCCTTCTAAGGTTTTTTTGGGAGAAAGCGCAAGCAGCTTAGTACGACCAAAGAGCTTGCCAAAGACATAGGCCCAAATATCGTTGTTAATAACACAGCTGACTGGGAGAAGAAACCAAATCATGCCTCGTACCATATTTCGCAACACTCCAATGCACGGTACTGCAACAAAGATGAGCGACATCGCTGTCCATGTGAGTTGAATAAACTGATATCGGTACATCCCCTTACGCAAGCTAAGCACAAATCCCACAATCCCCATGACAAAGAAGGTGAAGCCCAAAAATGATAACTTACTGTAAAGTGGCAGCAGTGATGGGTAGGTGTCCAGAAGGGGTCGGCGCAAGTTGGAAAGTGTCACAAAGGCCATGCAAACGACCAAAAAGTACCATTTCAGAATTTGAACTGACTGAAGTCGACGTTCCTTACGAATCTTTTGATTTATTCGTGTAATTTCATAAAACATGGTAACAGAGATGATAACAACAAGTGGAATGCCAGATAGAACGCCGAGTGAAATAAATGTAAGGAATATATAAACCATAAGAATGGTAAAGATCGTTCGATTTATAAAATTAGAGTACCGGTTTTCCTTCTTTTCTTCCGTCGGCACGGTCGTACCTGAAGATTGTATCTTGTTTGGACTCTGGTTGGCCAAGGCAGTGAGTTGAATAGGGGTATCACTGCGCATACCTTTGGCATCTATTAATGGCGCAAAAATAGGCTTAGTTAATTCTTTTTCCATGTTGAAATATAGTATGGACTTTAGGCTAATGAAAGGATTGAAGTTCAAGCAAAGAAAAAATTTCCCTAAAGACGTATCGCCTTGGGGCAGGAATCTATTGAATGCTCATTGCAATGGCATGAGCTAACAATAATAATGAAAACTATATCGCTATTGATAGATATACTCGCTCAAAAAATGTTTAGTTACATATACGATTGATAAAAAAAAATTATTCCCTACTAGGTGGAAATTCAAGTTTTCCCCTTGTTACATTCATTGTTACTTATCTATGTTTATACAAAAATGCGCAGAGTAACAAAAAAAATGCGAAACTGACTTTCCTAAAACATAAGCACTCAAATATATTCTCTAATCGTAATCATCGCTCTCTGAAAGAATGTAGGAAAAAATACCAAAGGATAAACATCCGAGCTCGCCATCTTGACATAAAACTCACAGTTGCGGTAACATATTTTCGGGAACATACAAAAGAATAAAAAATACCGACAATAATGCGCATGCTCAAATGCAATGAGTTAAATCGTTTCAAAGAATGTTTAAGTAAAATAATAAAAAATGATCGTTTTTTTTTAAATAAGTTCCCAAAACAAATATAGACAGTTAATTTCGTTGTAAGAATTTAAGGTAAGAGAAATCTGCGCCGTATCTCCTTCTTGATCATTTTGCCCTCTTGGTTGTTTGGGTTAGACAGCACTGATGAATTTTCAATCGCACGGCGGATCAAGTAATGTACAGAATCCTTTACCGGTCCGTACGGCAAGTACTTATAGACCTTAAAATTCGCCTTAGCGAGAGGAATCGTAAGGTTATCACGCATGCCAAAGAGCTGACCAAACGACACGTGTTTGACTAATATAGGATTCTTTAGAACCAAATCAGTTATTTCCTCGAGTGACTCGCGATTGTGAGTACCAAAGAATACTTCATATTTCATGTCAGGATTTGCCAGAAACCCTTCCACAATCCGCTTAGCCACGCGCCCGTAACACTTGTTTGTCTGTTCATAAGTAGGCCAAATGGGGCTGGCGTAACCGTATTGTTTAGCGGTCGCCACCTCCTGCAGCATGTACGCACCACGCACGACCTTACCACCCCACTGAAACCCAAGCCTCTTTGCACGAATTAAATCATTAGCAACACGATCCTCTGCGTAGGTTAGATAGCATTGGTATGTGTTGTAAACCACTGGTATATCCTTGTTGTAGCGTTTTTGTAAATACACAACAAGCGCATCGATGGCAATCTGATAAAAGGTTTGCTCAGCATCGACTAGAGCTCGAACCCCCAACGCTTGAGCAGTGCTTACAATGTGGTCAAGCCGCTTTACAAGAATTCGCCATAATTTCTTTTCCACAGCGCTCATGTGTGGTAACCTCTTGATGAGGATACTCTGAGCTGCATCGGGTTCCGGTGTGGTAGTGGCCTCTGTAAGAACTTCCTTGTACCAAAAATAGTCGATCTTCTCCTTTTTATGAGGATCGAGTAGCGTGATTACTTGATCAAATTCCTCTTCAGACAGCGGGACCCCGTCACCCAGAACCTTAAATCCTTCTCGAAGCTGATCATAGGTGATGTACAACTGGTGTTCGCGGCCCACTCCCATTACCACACGACATTCCTCCAGCTTGGGTGCCTTTTCCTTGGTAAAGCACGTGTACCAACTTTGGTGAATGGACATCAAAATGGCTGACACACGTGCCAACAGCTGTGGGTCACATATACCTGTTACCTTGATGGCGGCTAGACCATGGTTCCCCGCCGGGCAATGCAGGGAGGCGTGCATGATGCTGACCATGTAAAGTTTCATGTTCTCATCAAAGGCGTTTTCGTTCATCAAGTATTGAATGTTGCTCTTGTTCACGAGGCTGCTCATAGAGAGGTCGGGAGCTTCCGCGATCCCAGGTGCGGGGGTGAAACCCTCACAATCCGCCTCAACAGCATAATCAAGGACAACGCCGATACGCGCCTTATCTAGTGCGCGAATAGTTTTCTTGAGCTCATAGTCATTCGCACCGGCACAGAAACAGTCGTAAATGGTTTTGCGAACGAAAAAATCGTAAGTTATTTTGCTCCCCAATATTTTTTCAAAAAAACGCATGTACTGAATTGAATTTTGAGTGAGCCTTTCATAGCTGCACAACTTCAAAATGAAAAAGTACTTTAGAAGTTTCCAAGTACTTTTCTGCTTATAAGCCGATGTATCCTCAAAATTTACTGCTTTCAAATCTGCATCGACGGTGGGTGAAGTTGTCTTGAAGGCTTGGGAAGTGGCGAGCAAACCGAGTGGCCTGCTGAAGTTATGAACCAAACGCCGCATGGAAATGATAAAAAACAATCTATATAAATATATATATATATATATATAAAGAGTAAGGGGGGGAAAAAACTTTCTAAAATACGAAACGATCCTTTGAGTTTGCTTCTACTGAAAACCAAAGAGGGATTTTTAGAAATATAGATAGGAGGGTAAATCTAGATTATGGTGTTACGAATATTACATGCAGGATATTTTTTTGGTCATATATTTGATTCATGTCAGAATCTAAACCTACAAGGTGGAAATGCGAATGGGTATCTCGCGTGAAAACTGTCCCATGCGATGATTGACAAGATAACTGAAGCGGAAAGACGCCTGCTACCTTGATACAAACAGGCGATTCCGTACCCTTACACAAAAAGATAGAGGTGACCAAAATCGCTTCGAGTTTTCCATCACACACACACACACCTCATAAGTAGTTGTCTACTAAATAACCAAAAAATACTCCGCGCCCACTCAGCACACATATTATCGCTATGAATTGAAAGAAAAAAATGAACCAAGAAGTTCTGAAAATATACAGAGAAATGAGGAAAAAGTATGATCACTACGCTCAGGGATATTAAAGAAAAGGCGATTAATGCTTTAAAAAAACCAAATAAATAACTACTTTAATAAAATTGATTGATACCACTTTGGATAGGAAAAATAGGCTTCTGAATTGATAAAGCCTAAAAAATGGGATGCGGTTAAATGCCAATGTTTAGGAAAAAGGCATCATCGTTTGGTTCGCGACCCAAGAACTCACGAAGTGACTCGTTTGGATCTCGGCCACCCCCAACCCCAATGATGCTATCCACATACCGGCGACCTATTTTAGGATCCATTAAGCCGTTGTGGGATTTTATGTAGTTAAATACATCCAACGCAAAAACCTTCGACCACATGTAGCCATAGTAGCCAGCTCCATACCCAAGTAAGTGGCCAAAAGAATTTTCAAAGTGAGTGTCCCCCACGTCGCTCACACCTGGAGCAATGCGGGACCGAGTAGCGTAGAAAAGTTCAGAAGTATTGAGCCTGTCGATCGGCTGAGTCGAAAATGGAATACCGAAAATACTGAGGGAGTACGACGCAAAGCACAACTGTCGCAACATGTCATAACCGATAAAAGAATTTTTAGAGCGAATCTTAACCTCTATAAGTTCTTTCGGCAAAGCTTCCTCAGTCTCGTAGTGGCACGTCACCATTTGTAAGATTTCAGAGTCCCACAACCATTCCTCCAGCATTTGCGAGGGCAATTCCACAAAGTCACGCTTAACTTGAAGCCCTGCGAACGTTGACATTTGGCTGCGGCCCATGAGGCTATGAATAGCATGCCCAAATTCATGAAAAAATGTTTGTGCATCCCTGTGTAGAAATAGTGAGGGCCGATCATTGGTTGCTGCTGGAAAGTTCGCAATGACGACAGAAAGTGACGGGTAAAATTCATTCTCACTGTTTCTAAGACGCACTGGTGGTACCACAGTGTGACAACAAGCATGGGTGTACTTTCCCTCGCGGGGAAACAGATCGAGAATGATGTACCCAAGCAACTTCTCAGTTCGATTATCTTTAACTTCAAGTGTGAAGACGTCCTTGTGCCACAGCTCGCTCCCATTGTCAATTCGACTGAATGTAAGGTCAAAAAAAGCCTGATAAATACTGAAAAGGGCTTTCACAGTAGAATTCATCGGGAAGTATTCCTGAATTTTTGCTTCATCCACGTTAAAAAGCGTTTTATCGATTTGATTTTTCATGAAAGTGATGTCGTGGGACTGAATGTTACCCTCAATAAGAGAACAACTTGGATGTAGATGCTTCTTTATTAATTCAATTTCATCTGCCCACTTCTTTTGCAGTTTCGGGATTAGTCGGTCCACAAAACTCTGCGCAGTATCAGGTGACTTCACCATTTTGTCAGCCAAGCTAAGATGAGCATAAGAGGGATAGCCAAGTAAGACAGAAAGCTGATGCCGCTTATGAATGATGTCACGCAAAACATTCTCATTCTGTGGATAAGCTCTGTTATTGAAAGCAATGAACATAGCTTGGCGCGTAGATGCAATTTCACAATTCGCCATGACCTCAAAGAACGTTGGGTAATCCAATTTCAGAATATGTTTACCATCATCCCCTTTCTTTAACGAATTCACAACACTCTCCGATACACCTCTCAATGCATCTGTGGGAAATTGAAGCTCCGTTGCGTCCTCATTGATATTTTGTTGAAATACTGTGCACAGCTCCATGATATCCTTTTTCAAGCTTGCTACATTCTGAAATTCAGGTTCTGGAAGTTCCATTCCCCCGCGCTTATATTTATCCAATGTCTCCTCAAGCCAGAATGCATACTCTGCATTTCGACCTTTTTTCCCTACGTACTCAGTTTGATACGCTTCATTCGATTGGACATCTTTTAAAGCATGATAAAGCTGTCGATTTGATTCAAAATGGATAATGGAAAACATCTTCAACTCTTTCATCTGCTCTATGGACTCATCACGTACCTCTTTAGATGGAAATACATTTGCTATGACAGAAAGAAGATTTGTAGAGATGTCTAACTCAGTAATGGCGATATCAAGACACTCAGCGGTGTTTTCGAACGTGCGATTTTCCTTGCCAACATCATAAATATCTTTAAGAGACGCAAGGGCACGCTTTTTTGCAGCGGAAACAAGTTCCTGGCATTCGGAAACAGTTTTGGGAAAAAGTGAAATGCATGCCGCAGGAGAGCTTATATTGACAAACGTACGGGAACGCATTAAGAATGATTCAATTTACGTATAAGAATATGGATATAGTGATAAAAATAATTTAATTTGAAACACTATAATAAGCGAGATAGGAATATTTTTATAATAAGATAATCGAAACCATGGAATTAAATTATTAAAACCCACAACATATATTCCATCTTCTACAAAGTCATGAAGATTTTCTTCGTGATCTTCCACAGGTTACAAATCTTCATGATATCAAATCCAACACAAATAAATATCATCAAGAAGATATTTTATAAATATTACTCTTAAGATAATATTAGTAATAATAATAAGTATTTACATTAAGAAGAATCTAGATGTCGTGAATTTCATCAGGCCAACATATCTTTCAAGTGCGATGTTTTGGACTTCCAAAATCAGAAATTGCTTAGGATATCTTGTTCTTAATGTTTTTCCATAAAAGTTGTCTGTAATATGGAGTTGACTGCATTGCAATTTGGAAATCCGTTTAGAAGACACACGGCATTATATTATCTACCTATTATAAGTTAATATTTAATATCAAGCTTCTTTGTTGATTTTTCAATGTTTATTGATTTCATGGATGGTATTTCTTGCCTCAAGCCATACTTTGAGGAGTTGAGCTTCATTTACACAAATAATACGCATTTTATGAAGATATGAAAGTGCAAAGGCTAGAAGGTGACACCATTTTTTTTTAATAAAAAAAGATATTATAAAATTATTATCGTTCATTGGCGGATATAAGTATATATGTATATTATGAGTCGCATGTTATGCATGCCTTTTGGTTTTCAACCGTTTTCCGGGTTCATGGAATAAATATTTCGCTGCCATTCCTACTCAATCAGAGTAGTTTGATTTTAAAGACAGGCAGTTAATACACAGTAGACTTGAAGTTGAAATGGAAAAAGATTAGTCACCTAAAGTAGTCTCAATAATCAAAAATCTATCGAGAAAAAATATTAGTCGTAATATATTTGCATCACATATAACAATGAGAAATTTCTACCGTTCACTGAAGTATTCAAATCGATACATCTTTCTGTACGTATTGATAAATTTGGAGGAAAAAATGAATCAAATAAAGTTGGAATTAGTGAGCTACAGTAGTGATTGTCAGACCAAAATATACTGTAGATTTCACCATGTTTTAAGTAATATACGGTGTCACCATTATAAGCATTTATAACTCCAATTTATTATTACATCAGCTATATTATTTAATAATATATGTAATAATTCTCCCTGAATGGCCTTCACTTAGATATATTATTATAAATCAGGCAACTAAACAAATGAAAACATTCACGTGGTTTGAACTAAGAGCAGACTGAACCAAAATAAAAACAATTACATTTAGCGGTTGCTTTAACAAATGTAGCAGGCGTTTTCAATGCGAACTATACTCCATTAGAAGGCATCAAAACCTGTTAAAGATCCACCATCGTACGACACGAATGGTTGATGCCAACGGACCCAAAACTTATACTCACCGAATAAAGAGTATAACCTTTTGCAGGCCTAGATTACGGTACTGGAAATTATATGGGGACTTATATATCAGAACAAAAAAAATTATTCAAAACTCTGATTCGCTTTTTTTCACAATCTTGAGAGGTTGTCGAAAGGGTCATGCAAATGGGAATTATGCAATTAAATTTTGAGGGGAACGCCACAATGGAAACAGTGGGAAGGAAAATTCAGCAGAAAATGGATTCAAGATAAGGAACTCCTGAATAAAATTCCATAAAAAATATTCTTCGTGGGGTGGGAGAACCAACGCAACTACAGGAATATATGAGCCCACAGTTACTTCGATTTTGTTTTTACATATTGCTCCGCTTAAAGTATTATTGCATTTTTTACGAAATTATGTTCCCTGGTTCATATATTTCCAAAACATATTTATACAATGACTTTAGAGAAGTTCGTGATCACCATATACCACCCCTATCCCCAAGCAGTGTGCAATTGGATCTAATATATTTCACCTCAAACTTCACAGATATATGTACACGGGAATGTCAGACTATGGGACAGCTGATGCAAGCTGTAACATGCTACGATGATTTGGAGTAGTTATGTGTGTTATAATCCATTGTCCTTATGTATTTTCTTATATTTTATTGCACATGGGCTCCGGAGAAAGGATGGTGGCTACCTCATTGTCACGATATTTTTCAGTGTTTAAAAAAAATGCTAATCCACATAAAATATTTTTCAGGTTATGAATGTCAAACTACATTCCATATGACCTAATATAATCGCAAGACAATGACCAATATAGAATTAAATACATGCTATCTCCTTTGCGTGGATGGAATTTATTTTAAAATAAGAGAGGCAGACTTTTCCTAAAAGCCTAATTCGAATATCTTATCAACTAGCTTCTCTACAATTGATCAAATAATTTGGGATTGTTAATAATTAATCCAGCACACACTAAAAATGACAAAAAGTCGAATTTTGAATCAGGAAAAAAAATGACTCCTCAGAGTATCTTCAGCTAATGATACAAACAGGAAAGCAGTTAATACTTTTGTTTTTACACTATGAAACTGCGTTCGAGACAATGAGTAGAGAGTAACAACAAATCGACACAATTTACAAAGTATGAGGCTATAGAACTCGGGAAAAAGCATTGATCCATCAACAAATTCATAGGAATAACAAAGTATAAACAGATATGAACATTTTTCAAAAAAATTACTCTGGAGGAAAACACATGAAATTATATAAAAGATTTGATTAATAATAAACAACAAAATCGTCATATTTAATCCTGATCAAAAAGCATCTTCCTCTGGAAAGCTAGTCTGGATAAAGACAGAAGCAGCACGTAAGTAATAACGGCTTTCATCCAACTCGAAAGGATAGCATTCAGAGTCTAAATTTAAATCCTGCATTATTTATCTTAGAATTAAATATAGATGAGTAAAAAAATACTGTCGCAAGCAAAAAAAAATACTACAAGGGTGAAGCAGTCGCGTATGAAAAGGGAGAGCTTGTAGTCGAGCATTTAGAATAACACAGGGAGTTCATCATTATATGCTAGTTTCCCCTCCGTATTGGTCCGACACAAACATTAGCGACGATGTAGGCATACTTTTCCGCACTAAAAATTGATGGCAAAGCCACTAGTTTAAATAACTCCATTGATTTTGTGACAATTTAATTCTGCATTGGGCCACAATGACACTTTAGACTTTTATACAAACTCTTTCTACAGCTGTTCATCACACGATACCCCCTATGCATACCGACCTGGCAGATTATCATGAAGGCAACGAAATTCGAAACTTCAGGGCAACTCTAGAAATGTTAAGTTGTTAAAACTATAGTAATTGAATGTCATCACACCAATCACGTGTCATTCCGCAAAAAGTATCTTTGTGTGGAATTAGAACTAAACAAAACCAATTCATAGTCCATACCAACTTGATGAAGTAAAATGGTCGAACTGGTAGGAACATTGTCAGAAGTCTCGAAAAGTATGTTCCTGGTCTTGATATCAATGCAACGGATTCCTAAAGTAGGTGAAGAGACAGCAACAAGACCATTTCGAATCGACGCACTGAGGTCACCATGGACTCCAAAGCGAACACCTTCATGTAGCGTCGCCACGGAATGTTTACAAGAAAAATAGCGCAAATCCCATAGCTTAGTCTCCACATTAGAAGCAACTGAAATAAACTGATGCTCTGTATAAAGCGGGTATAGAAATGATACTTCTGCGTCGTGATGTCTGGAAGTGTTATCGTAGGATGCGCATTTATACTGTAATGGAATTACCTGAATGGTCCCGTTACGCAAACCACAGAGAATGATGCGAGGCCCATCACAGCTGTGGTCGATGGCACAAAGAGAAGTTACAGGACGACGAGCAGAATAACTACGTATTTTGCGCATTTCCCACCCTCCTATTTGCAGGCTAAGTCTTGCTTCCATCACCGTGCTATCTGTCGATAGAGCCAACCAAGGCAACGGCACTGACTTTTCAGGGATGTAACAATTCTGAAAACATTCGTTCTGAGTAGCTGATGCAGCGTAAAAAAGGTCTTGCCTCAATGGTGTTCCGTCCCTCTGCTGGTCTTGAAGATATACAAACGCAAAATATTTTTCTCCGACTAGAAGCGCCCCTTCTAATTCATCATTTGAACGACAAGCAGTCTGAAAATAGCCGACCCCGATACCTTTTTGTGAGGTTAGTCTAGAAAAGCAAGTTTCCTTTGTAAAATTGCATATCTTGGCTTCGTACCGAAGGGTACCGAAAAGGGAATCTGTGCCATCGTACCACCACATTCTATCGTATAGATCCGTACTAATGACCTCGAATAGCTTTTTATTTGTATCGAACCGCTCTCCCTCACGAGCATATAACCTAATGGGATGTAGACATGATCTCTTCCAACGCGCGTAGTCTGTAATACGCTGATAGCGTGGCTCTGCTAAGACGCTTCCCTCGCTCTGTCGTATAAATTCATATTCCTTACTGATCTCGGTATCATCTTTTCTAAGACTTTTGAACACGTAAAATTCGTTGGGCATTGCATCCGCCAGTGTAACGATACGACTGCCCTCACCTCCAAGGTTGGACAGCTCAAATAACTCCACAGCATCAGGCGATAGTGGTGCTCGATGGTGGAAACGCAGGCCGGGGTCCCCAAAGAAACGCTCAGGGCAAGACTTTGCATCTAAAATGTGTATATACCGCTCACGTACTGGTAAAAAAATAGTCCCTTTTCGCGCGCGCACCGTTTGTCCACAATGCAGGAATGTTTCATACTCCCCTCTAATTGGATGTGCTCGAACAATTCCTCTTTGCTTGTCTTTGTCGTACTTCATCTGTTGGTATAGTTGTTGCTCTAGATCATCGTCATCAGACGATGAAAACTCTATTCGTCCCACTCCTTTAGTACGATTCATTTAAGTTATAGAAAGCTTAATACGATACCTGTTCTCAAGAAGAATAAAAAATAGGACATATTCAGCCTTGAGAATTTTATGAATATCGAAAGAGGAGGAGGTT